CGTCTCCTCCTACTTCTTCTCTTCCTGCTCTTGCTGACCCTGAGTCAGACTCTCTTCGTACTGCTAGTCCTACTGTCACGCGTCTCCTGGCTACTGTTGTCACTGACCCTTCCTTTGAGTCTGCTGCTGCGTCCGCCTTAGTTGCTGAGCTTGTCGACTTTGCTGCTCGCTGTCGTCTAGACTACGCTGCTAGCCTAGTTGCTGAGTCTGAGTCTGTCTGTCCTCCGTCCGTCGGGGGTGAGTGTGCTCTTGGCACTGACGTCCTTGAGGACAGGCAGGAGGAGTTTGAGTGCTTTGCTGCCGCTTTGCCCCATCTCGTGTCCATGCTTGTTGCCCCTGAGGGAGACCCGGATGCACTAGACATCCCGACCCCACGCTCTTACGCAGAGGCGATGGCTGGTCCCTACTCCTCTCAGTGGCAGTCAGCCATGGACACAGAGATGGCTTCCTGGAAGTCCACTGGCACCTACGTCGACGAGGTTCCCCCACCTGGGGCGAACATCGTCAGTAGCATGTGGATTTTCAGGGTGAAGCGGCCGCCGGGCTCTCCGCCTGTCTTCAAGGCGCGTTACGTTGCACGAGGCTTCAGTCAGCGAGAGGGAGTTGACTACTTTCAGACCTTCTCCCCGACCCCGAAGATGACCACTCTTCGGGTTCTGCTGCACGTCGCCGCTCAGCGTGACTACGAGCTCCACTCGCTTGACTTCAGCACTGCTTTCCTGCAGGGCAGCCTGCACGAGGAGATCTGGCTGCGCCGTCCACCTGGCTTCACTGGGTCGTTCCCTCCTGGTACCTAGTGGAGCCTCCGACGGCCAGTCTACGGTCTCCGCCAGGCGCCTCGTGAGTGGCACGACACACTGAGGACTACGCTTGCGGCTCTTGGGTTCGCACCTTCTACTGCTGACCCGTCGTTGTTTCTACGCACCGACACCTCACTGCCGCCGTTCTACGTCCTTGTGTACGTCGACGACTTGGTCTTTGCTACTGCTGACACTGTGGCACTCGCCCACGTGAAGTCGGAGCTGCAGAAGAGACACACGTGCACAGACCTGGGTGAACTGACAAGCTATCTTGGCTTGCGGATCTCCCGGGACAGAGCACGCCGCACCATCACCTTGACTCAGTCACACATGGTGCAGCAGGTCCTTCAGCGCTTCCGCTTCACGTACTCCTCGCCTCAGCCCACTCCTCTGCCTACCGGTCACTCGCTCTCAGCTCTGCCTTCGGATGAGTCCGTAGAGCCGAGTGGCCCGTATCCAGAGCTTGTGGGTTGCCTCATGTACCTGATGACCTGCACTCGACCAGACCTTGCATACCCTCTCAGCATTCTTGCACGCTATGTCGCTCCCGGCCGTCACCGGAAGGAGCACATGGATGCAGCTAAGAGGGTGTTGCGCTACTTGTGCAGTACGTCGGGCATGGGGCTAGTGCTTGGAGGGCGAGTCCCAGTTGTTCTCACTGGGTACTCAGATGCTTCTTGGGCAGACGACCAGGCTACTCAGCGGTCGTCTCAGGGTTACTCCTTTAGTCTTGGCTCTGGTTCTGTTTCTTGGCGCTCTACTCGCTCTTCCTCTGTTCTCAGCTCCAGTTGTGAGGCTGAGATCTACGCCACAGCCATGGCGGCTCAGGAGCTACGCTGGCTCACCTACTTGCTGACCGACCTTGGAGAGCAGCCTCGTTCTCCTCCAGTGCTGTACGTCGACAACAAGGCAGCCATTGCCTTGTGTGAGGAGCACAGACTAGAGCACAGAACGAAGCACATTGCTCTGCGTTACTTCCTTGCCCGAGAGCTGCAGCAGCGTGGTCAGCTTCGCCTGCGTTACGTGGCCTCTGAGGCCAACACTGCTGATGTGTTCACCAAGGCGCTTCAGCCTTGTGACCATCAGCGCTTTTGCACTCTTCTAGGCCTTGTGCCTACTGGACCTCACTTGCTTACTTCTTGAGTCTGTTTGTACTGTGATCTCTATATATATACCTGCATGTTTACTCTTGTTAGGTTGTGATCATTGTACCTTTTGCTCTATTATAAACCTGCATGTGAACTGGTCTTGTGACCACTTGCTTGTGCTCAGAATTTGTGTGGTATCCTTGAGATCCACCCTTAGCTTGTCTTGCCTTGCATTGCATTGACTGGTCTTGTGACCCCTAGATCTCCCCCACTTTGCCTATGGGGGTGTGTCAAACATTATATATGTTGTGTTAGTTTAGGCTACAGTGGGTTAGCCTATAGGGGGTACACAATTCTAGGGTTAGGTTTTGACCTATTTGTACCCAACTGTCATTCCAGTCAATCATTCCTGTTTCGTACTTCTGACAGATGCTTAATTATGCGGTACGAAATAGCCACAATAATAGACATGGTAGAGGGCCCTTTGAAAGCACAAAGGCAAAGTAGAGCGCAATGCAACATGATATTTCAATTGATATGGTACACAAGATTTTTTCGACTAAATACTCATGTACTACCTTGCAGCCGGATTGAAAATGTGCGAATTTTTGCAGGCCCCAACTCCACAACAAGAGAAGCAGGATCAAGGAACGATTCTCGAGCCGACCTATTTTCATCACCTGCTCCCTCAACTCCCTCCTCGCCCTCCACTCGCCAGGAAAGAGGCTGTCGCATGTCTGCTTGTTTCTGATTGGCCATCAGACTCAGTTCTGTCACCTCATGTATCTGCTAGGGGTGGGTGGGAATGTGACAGTAAGGGAAGTAACATGGGGGGGATGAGATGGGTGTGATCTTGGTAAGGGATGGAAAGCAATTACACGCTCTGAGGCTGGATAGTAGGGTTGAAATTTGAAGCTAGCATTCTAGGGGTTTCTGAGATTGACTGCTGTATGATTCCTGGTCAGCTCACTCACAAAATATTATGTATGCACGCAACTGTGGTTGAATCACTAAGCGGTGTGTGAAGAGGTGTGTGCGAGAGAGGGTTTGAGAGCAAGTCAGAACGCAGGTAGGGTGACCAGTTACATGTCAGAAAGAGGCAACTATTAAGGGTTTTAAACCAAGAGCGTGTTAGAGCTGTTGAAAAGGTAGGGCGACCAGACTATCTACCTGTTGAAAAGGTAGGGCGACCAGACTATCTACCTGTTTTGCTGCAAACAATCTTCGGAGGTCCACTTGAGCTGGACGCGACCAGGCAGCATGCTCCCCGGGCTGCAGTTGCAGATGGGGCAGGGAGGGGGAGGCCGATGAGACAGGGAAGCAGATAAGACAGGGAAGCAGATGAGACAGGGAAGCAGATGAGACAGGGAAGCAAATGAGACAGGGAAGCAGATGAGACAGGGAAGCAGATGAGACAGGGAAGCAGATGAGACAGGGAAGCAGATGAGACAGGGAAGCAGATGAGACACGGAAGCAGATGAGACACGGAAGCAGATGAGACAGGGAAGCAGATGAGACAGGGAAGTAGATGAGACACGGAAGTAGATGAGACAGGGAAGCAGATGAGACAGGGAAGCAGATGAGACAGGGAAGTAGATGAGACAGGGAAGTAGATGAGACAGGGAAGCAGATGAGACAGGGAAGCAGATGAGACAGGGAAGCAGACACACATAAGGCAGTGAAGGAGGTGGGCTTTGGGTCTCCTGAAACTAGGAGGCCTTGCCGAGTTCGAGGGAGGTATTATTGAGAATGAAATCTTGGCGGAAAGAAGGAATACAAGGGCAGTACAATGGTGAGGGAGGTATGAGGGCGTGTGTAGAGTGTAAGTGGGGAGTGGAGTGCAAGTGGTGCAGTGCAATGCAGAGGAGAGGACGGTGAGATTTTGAGAGGATTGGAAGCGGTGCAGTACGGCAGGGCAAGATGGATGGAAGGCCGACTGGGGGGGGATTTGAGTGAGTAAAGGGCACTAGTGAGGCAGGGGTGTGAGAGAGGGAGGAGCGCGAGTGCGGACGAGGAGTATGTGAGGGAAGAGGTGTGAGTGAGGAGAGAATGAGTGAGAGGGAGTGAGTGTGGGACTCACTTGATACATGTGAGCTAGTCTCAAGACAACCGTGCTTGGTGAGAGCTCTTGCACATGTGACAGTGGCACAAGCGTGTTTGAGATAAACGGAACAACTAGTAGCATTGCAGCACAGCACAGCACGGCATGGCACAGTATAGAATTCTGATGGAGCATACAACACAGCGTTCTCAAAGCTCCTCCACCTATGCTGGTGGTGAGAATATGGGGGTGCTGATGGATGAAGGATCAACTATAAGTGGTGTGGGAGGTTGAAGAAGGGAGGGCAGAGGAGTGATGGAGTGGAGTGGACGATTATTTGCTGAAGTGCCTAGATTATCGTTAGCGAAAGGTAGGTGAAGCGATAATAAATAGTGGAAGATTAATGTGTGCAGCACGAATGTTGACGCGTCTCAACTGTGTTAAGTACGGATGATACACAGTGATGTCGAGGCGCCTCTTACAACACAACACAGTGCTTGCCTGCATGCACGATGATTGTTACCTGCATCATGATGACAGCAACATTGGGAGGAACCGAGTAGGATGAAGCACTGTTAGGCTTGCTGGATGACGTGGAGGATGCTGACGTGGAGGATGCTGATGTGGATGATGGCTGGGAGAGGGAGTAGTGCCACGTGTAGCTGCCTTGTGCTGCCCTGATAGACTACTGAGTCTGCAGGAGTCAGAGAAGAGAGAGGGCGGGGTTGGGATGGATGGAGAGAGGTTCGAGTGGATGGAAGGTTGACGGTGGAGCAAGATGGTTTGCAAAGGAAGCAGCGGAGCGCGAGAGGGAGCACATGGGAAGGGCAAGAATCATCAAGGAGAGGCAGAGGGTTGGCGGGAAGGAGGTCACTAAGTGAGAGATGGCGAGGGCTCACTTCAACGGCAAAGGCGAGCCGGAGAGGGGCTATGATGAGCCGCTGCGTGCATGTGCCGGGTGCATGTGCTGCGTGCATGTGCTGTGACATGCAATTGAAAACTTGCGAAGAGAAAAAGATGGAGGAGCATGGAAAGGGCTCACTTCAACCGCAAACGAGAGCCGCAGAGGGGTTAGGAGGCGCTGTGCGTGCTGCCTCCTCCACTCGCTTCCCCGCCCCAACCCCACACGCTCTTCCCCTTGCTCCCCTTCGTGCTCCCTTGCTCTTTCTTCAGAGCCTGTGTTAAGATGCAGCCCAAAGCGCAGCGAGCCCACAACCTTCCGAGCATGGGAGAGACAGTTGTTGGAGGGTGGGGGGAGATTGGTAGGGCTTAGCCCAAACGAGGTAAGGCAAGCTGAAGTGGGGCAATGAGCGGCCCCCTTGCTCCCCTTCGTGCTCCCCTGCTCTTTCGTCAGAGCCTGTTTCAAGATGCAGCCCAAAGCACAGAGAGCCCACAACCTGCCGGGCAGGAGACAGATGGTTGTTGCTGGGAGGGTGGAGGAGAGTCAGTTGTTCGAGGGTACGAGAGATTGAAAGGGGATAGTCTGCACTAGGTAGGACAAGCTGAAATGGGTTGTGTAGGCAGCCCAAAGCGCAGGGAGCCCACAGCCTGCAGGACGGAGGAGAGAGAGAGATGGTTGTTGCATGTGTTTGCATCTTCCATTGTACCACCCCTTAATCAATGCAAGGACCATTCGAGATGGTTGTTGGAGGATGGGGGCGTTCTGAAGAGCTAACGGTGACGGCCAACTGAAGTGGAGCTATGCGCGGCTGTGTGCAGCGAGCCCACAACGTGCACGGCAAAGGAGGGAGCGATGGTTGCTAGAGGGTTCAAGAGTGTGGTGTAACGCGAGTAGTCGTCAACGACCAGCAGGAAGTAACGCTCGTGACCATGTCCACGGACGCGGGCGGGGCCCCACACGTCCAGGTGAAGTGTCTGCAGCGGAGCCTCTGTCGGAGGAAACTCGGAGGAGTGAGGAGCGGCGCGCTGCTGCCTCTCGACGCAGGGAACGCAGGTAGGGGCAAGCCCTGGAGGAAGAGGAGGGAGGGACCGGGGGAGACCAGAGACAAGGACACGGGAGGCCATGCCTCGGAGACGAGGCAGGGAGGGGTGACCAAGGCGGTGGTGCCAGAGGAGAGTCTGGTGAGACAGGAGATGACACGAGCAGGGGGCAGACTCAGGACCAGACCTGGACGCTGCAGCAAACACCTGACCCGACGCAGCTACTTGACCAGACTCAGCAGCCGGAGGAGACTCAGTAGTCAGTGTGTACAGGCTCGACCCCGGCTGACAGGTAAACGTGGCCAAGTGTCGGCCCGTCCGAGCACACATACAGTGGGTCACTCGCTGACTCGCAAGAGTGAACTGGTCAACCCCCCCATCCTGTAGATCAGCACCACTCACCAGGTTTGTAGAGAACGAGGGGAGGTAAAGACCTGACAGGGTGCCAGAAGGGGCCGCCGGACACGGTAAGACAGTGGAGATGTGGGCAAGGACAGGACCCCCAAAGGGGTCTGCCAGCGAGATTGCAACCGGCCGACTAAGCGGCGTGAGTGTGGTGCGGTCTCGAAAGAAGGAGCGGGAAGCACCCGAGTCAAGGGTGAAAGTGTGCAAAGCCTGAGCCGACGTGGTACCTGAGAGAGCAGACTCACCAGCACCTAGGGCAGTAGACTCACCAGCACCTGGAGTAGCAGACGCACTAGCACCTAGAGCAGCAGCCTCACCAGCACCTAGAGCAGCAGCCTCAATGCCCGGGTCAGGCGGAACACACAGGTAACAGTCACCCTCATCACTAGTAGACACAACATACATGGCAGCAAGAATAGCATCATAATCAAGATCAAAGATAGCAACCCCCGACCTAAGCAGCTCGCCCCAGCGAGGGATCTCAGTGGCGTCAGAGAACTGGAGACGCCTGGCGTCCGTCAGGCGGCCGAAGCAGCGCTGGGTGGTGTGCGGGCCACCGCACGGCTCACCAGTGCGATCGCCGGTACGCAGGACGTAGGCACAGGGACCAGCACCCCCACCCCGCTGGCGCGCAGCGTACCACTCACGAAGCTGCTGGGGGGGCGGGGTCTCACAAGTGCGTTGTTGGTGCTGGCGTTGACCACCACCGAAGCCGCCCCGCTGCACAGAGCCACCCCGACCAGCTCCACCGCCGCCGCCGCCACCGCCGCCACCGCCGCCTCCTCCGCTCCCACCGCCACTGCCGCCGCCGCCTCCGCCTCCACCGCCGCCACCAAAGCCCCCACCCCCGCCACCACTCCCACCGCCGCCACCGAAGCCCCCACCCCCGCCACCACTCCCACCGCCACCCCCACCCCCTCCGCCGCCTACACCGCCACCTCCACTGCCCCCGCTAGCTCCTCCAGCGCCCTTGCCCCCCTTGCCCGTGCCGTTGCGGCGTCTCCTGCTAGGGGCAGACGCATCTCCGACCGACTCGGTGCCAACGAGGTCGACAGCAGCAGCAGAGGCAACAAAGGGCAAAAGGGGGGAGGGGGAGCACCCCTCAAAGAAGGGGGCACGAGGGTCACCACGAGAGGCTCCTATAGCGACTATACTCTTCTCAGCTGCAAGGAGGCGCTCCTCGAGGAGGTCAACGGTGAGTGTGGGGGGTAAACAGAGAGGAAGTGGTCCCTGAGCGAGCGAAGGGAGTCAGGGAGCCGGGTGACTAGGTAGTAGAGGGTGATGTACAAAGGGGGGGGGGGGGGGGGGGGTTCTTGGCGCAGAACTCAGCAGGAAGCGCAGTGCGGTAGCGGGTGTCACTAGTGCGAAGGTGCGTAATGAGATCAGCGACTGTGGGAAAGGCTGCGAGGTCAGGGAACAGGTACGGCAGCATGAGGCGACTAAGGGCAGCAGTGGCAGGGGAAGAGTAGTGTGCAACTACAGCGTCGTACAAGGTCTTAGCACTCTTGTACTGACTAAAGTGTGCGCGCTCAGTGGTCGGCAGGTGACTACGCACAGCAAGACGGGCAGCAGCATCGCGTGTGGCCCACTGTGAGCGAACAGTACTGTCAGTATCGGTAGTAGGGGCAGCAAAGGCGCCACACGTGAGATCGAACAGTGAGAGACCATCTTTTCTATCGCACTGCAGGAAAAGCTGCAGATCATCGACCCAGACCTCAAAGTCGACAGCCCGACACTCAGCATCAAAGGTGAGAACATTGGGGGTAGCCATGACAGCAGCAGCAGCAGGCTAGCAGCAGCAGCAGCAGCACGCTAGCAGCAGGAGGGGCGCGGCTCGGCGGTGCTCTTACTAGGGGCGGGTGGGTAGAGGCCCGCAAGCGGTGGGGCAAGGCCGAGGTGCGCCGGCAGGAACAGAGCCGCGACAGGGCGGCAGAGAAGGGCCGCGCTGTCATAACATTATAGCTTACTTATTTGTGTAGGCTATAGTGGGGTATCCCATAGGGGGTACAACCCAATTAGGGTTTCCTATTTGTACTCACTTCGTTCATAGTCATCTCATTCTCGTTCACTTCTTCTCATGGTATCGAGCAGGTTCCCCTGTGGGAACTGTGCTTAGGGCCCACCACCACTCCCTCGAATTTATTTTCTGCCCGGAGCGCGCTCCGGGCCCTTTCTCTTCCTTTTTTTTTTTCGATCTGCCCTAACGGCCCCTAGACGCCCGCCCGCCCTAGAGCCTGAGCGCCGCCCGCCCTAGAGCCTGAGCGCCGCCCGCCCTAGAGCCTGAGCAACGCCCGCCCTGGAGCCCGAGCGCCGCCCGCCCTAGAGCCTGAGCGCCGCCCGTCGCTGCCCGCGCTAGCCGCCCGACGCCCGCTAGCCGCCCGACGAGCCGCCCGCGCGTCGCCCGTGAGCCGCCCGCGCGTCGCCCGTGAGCCGCCCGTGCGTCGCCCTCAGCAGCCCGACGCGCCGCCCATGCAGCTGCCTGTGCGCAGCCCGACGAGCCGCCCGTGCAGCCGCCTGTGCAGCTGCCTGTGCTGTCGCCCGACGTGCCGCCCGTGCGGCCGCCCTCAGCTGCTCGACGTGCCGCCCGTGCAGCCGCCCGTGAGCCGCCCGTGCAGCCGCCCGTGCAGCCGCCCTCGCAACCGCCCGTGCAGCCGCCCGTGCAACCGCCCGTGCAGCCGCCCAGCGTGCCGCCCGTGAGCCGCCCGTGCAGCCGTCCGTGAGCCGCCCGTGCAGCCGCCCGTGAGCCGCCCGTGCCGCCCGTGCAGCCGCCCGTTCAGCCGCCCGTGAGCCGCCCGCAACCGCCCGTGAGCCGCCCGCGAGCCGCCCGCGAGCCGCCCGTGAGCCGCCCACCACGACGCCCGCGCCGCCCATGCCACCCGCGTCACCCGAGCCGCACGAGCCGCCCGAGCAGCAGCGCCGCCCGAGTCGCCCGTGCCGCTGAGTGTCCGAGCCGCGCGAGCCGCCTGAGCCGCCCGAGCCGCCCGAGTCGCCCGAGCCGCCCGAGCCGCCCGAGCCGCCTGGGGTGCCGAGCTTCTGCTCCTGTGGGGTTGCTGCTGCTCCTGGGGCGGCGGAGTTGCCGTGCTGCCATACTGCTGTGCTGCTGAGCTGCCCGACCCTTCCTGTCTGATGAGACTGTCGCTGCTGTCATGGCCACCCCTACTGTTCTGGCTTTTGACGCTGAGGGTCGCGCCATTGACTTTGCGGTCTGGCTCGATGACCTGCAGCTGTACTTGCAGTGCGATTCAGTAGACGACATTTCTCTCTTTGACTTTACCTCTGGAGCTGTCCCTGCCCCTCCTGATGATGCTGACCCCACTGTTCGCTCCAAGTGGGCCACCCGCGATGCTGCTGCACGTCTTGCTGTGCGTCGCCACCTCCCTTCCTCCGAGCGTGCTCACTTTAGTCAGTGCAAGAGTGCTCAGGCCTTGTACGACGCTGTAGTTGCGCGCTACTCTTCCCCTTCCTCTGCTACACTGAGCCGCCTCATGCTACCGTACCTCTTCCCTGACCTTGCTGCCTTTCCCACAGTCGCTGACCTCTTTACCCACCTCCGCGCGAGTGACACTCGCTACCGAGCTGCGCTTCCTGCTGACTTCTGCGCCGCAAACCCCCCTCCCATGTACATCACCCTCTACTTTCTAGTCACCCGTCTCCCTGACTCCCTTCGTGTAGTCCGGGACCACTTCCTCGCAGTCTGTCCCACCACCCTCACAGTCGACAGCCTCGAGAAGGCCCTCCTAGCGGCGGAGAAGAGCATAGTCGCTGTAGGAGCCTCTCGAGGTGACCCCCGCGCCCCCATCTTTGAGGGGTGTTCTCCTTCCCCTCTCCTGCCCTCTGGCGCCTCTGCCGCTGCGGCCGACCTCGTTGGTCTTGAGTCGGTCGGTGCGGCGTCTGCCCCTAGCGGGAGACGCCGCTCTGGCAAGGGCAAGGGGGGCAAGGGAGCGGGTGGGGCCGGCGGGGGCGGTGGAGGTGGAGGTGGAGGCGGCGGAGGGAGTGGGGGTGGCGGTGGAGGTGGTGGCGGGGGTGGGGGTGCTAGTGGCGGCAGTGGAGGCGGGGGTGGCGGCGGCGGTGGCGGTGGGAGCGGAGGTGGCGGAGGCGGCGGCGGTGGAGGCGGTGGCGGGGGCGGTGGAGGCGGAGGCGGGGGTGGCGGTGGTGGAGGTAGTCGGAGTGGCGCTTCGCAGCGGAGCAGCACTGGGGGTGGTCAGCGCCAGCAGCAGCAGCAGCAGCAGCGTTCTCGCGACGTCCCCACCCCTCAGCAGCTCCGTGAGTGGTACACGCAGCGTCAGCGTGGTGGGGGTTTTGGTCCCTGCACCTACGTTCTTCGCACTGGCGACCGCGCTGGAGAGCAGTGTGGGGGTACCCACACCGCCCAGCGCTGCTTTGGCCGCCTGACGGACGCTTGGCGCCAGCAGTTCCCGGAGGCCGCGGAGATCCCCCGCTGGGGAGAGCTGTCTAGGGCTGGTGTAGCTATCTTTGATCTTGACTTTGATGCTATCCTTGCTGCCATGTATGCTGTGACCATTAGTGATGAGGGTGACTGTTACCGGTGTTTCCCGCCCGACCCGGGCATTCGTACTGGTGCTCTAGGTGCCAGCGAGGCTTCTGCTCTAGGTGCCAGTGCGTCTGTGGTCCCAGGTACTGGTGAGGGTGCTCTCTCAGGTACTAGTGAGTCTGCGCTCTCAGGTACTGCGTCGGCTTCGGCCTCCCACACCTTCACCCTTGACTCTGGAGCGTCTCGCTCCTTCTTTCGGGACCGCACCACACTCACGCCGCTTAGTCGGCCGGTTGCGGTGTCCCTGGCTGACCCCTCTGGGGGTCCTGTTCTGTCTCGCTTCTCCACAATCCTCCCGTGTCCGGCGGCTCCCTCTGGCACCCTGTCTGGTCTCTACCTCCCCTCGTTCTCTACGAACTTGGTGAGTGGTGCTGACCTACAGGATGCGGGAGTCCACCAGTTCACCCCTGCTCGTCAGCGAGTGACGCACTGCACAGAGGCTAGCACAGGTCGTCACCTGGCTACGTTTACACGTCAGCCAAGGTCGAGCCTGTACACACTGACCACTGTTTCTCCTCCAGTTGCTGAGTCTGGAAGGGTCCCTTCGTCTGGTCAGGTGTTTGCTGCAGCGTCCAGGTCTGGTCCTGAGTCCGCCCCCTGTTTGTGTCGTCGCCTGTCTCACGAGACTCTCCTCTGGCACCACCGCCTGGGTCACCCCTCTCTGCTTCGGCTCAGAGGCATGGTCTCCCGTCTTCTTGTGTCTGGTCTTCCCCAGTCTCTCCCTCCCCTTCCTCAGGGCCCTGGCCCTGCCTGTGTCCCCTGTGTCGAGGGGCGCCAGCGTGCTGCCCCTCACTCCTCCCAGTTTCCTCCGACAGAGGCTCCGTTGCAGACGCTTCACATGGACGTGTGGGGCCCTGCCCGCGTCCGTGGACTCGGTCACGAGTGCTACTTCCTGTTGGTGGTTGACGACTACTCGCGTTACACCACAGTCTTCCCCTTGCGCAGCAAGGGTGATGTCACTGAGGTGCTGATCGACTGGATCCGCGTAGCTCGTCTCCAGCTCAGGCAGCGCTTTGGCTCGGACTTTCCTGTGTTGCGTCTGCACTCGGACAGAGGCGGAGAGTTCTCCTCTGGCCTTCTGCGTGCCTACTGTCGTGCGCGAGGCATTCGCCAGACCTTCACGCTTCCGGACTCACCGCAGCAAAATGGGATTGCAGAGCGCCGCATTGGCATGGTCATGGACGTCGCTCGTACGTCTATGATGCATGCGGCTCCCCCCCATTTTCTGTGGCTGTTTGCGGTCAGGTACGCGGCGCATCAGATCAACCTCCACCCCAGGGTCTCCAGGCCGGAGACCTCCCCAGCCCTGCTGTGGACCGGGAAGGTTGGCGATGCGTCGGCGTTCCGGGTCTGGGGATCTCGGGCGTTTGTCCGCGACTTGTCTGCGGACAAGCTGTCCCCTCGCGCTGCTCCCTGCGTCTTCCTGGGGTTCCCCCCCGACGCCCCTGGGTGGCAGTTCTACCACCCCACCTCTCGCCGTGTTCTGTCCTCCCAGGACGTCACGTTCGACGAGTCGGTACCCTACTACCGCCTCTTCCCCTACCGCACTCCGTCCCTCCCCCCGCCCCCGCTCTTCTTGGTACCAGGTCCCCCCCCGGTAGACCCCCTCCCCCCTCAAGGTCCTGCCCCTTCAAGTGTGTCCCAGGTAGACGCGGTCGAGCCTGTCGAGGTCACTGGTGACTCTGGTGCTGCTACGGGTGCTAAGCCTGGGGGTGCTGAGACTGGGGGTACTGAGCCTGGGGGTGCTGTGCCTGGGGGTATTGAGCTTGGGGGTGCTGAGCCTGGGGGTGCTGAGCCTGGGGGTGCTGAGCCTGGGGGTGCTGAGCCTGGGGGTGCTGAGACTGGAGGTGCTACGCCTGGCGGTGCTTTGCCTGGGGGTGCTGAGCCTGGAGGTTCTTCGCCTGGAGGTTCTCCGGGTGCTTCGTCTCGCCGGGAGCCACTCTCCCCACAGGAGCTGCATCAGTGGTTTGCCCGGCGCTGGAGGCGTGCTGCTGGTGCTGGAGGTTCTTCGGCTGCTGAGGGTGCTGCTGCCGCGGGTCCCGGAGGTGCTCGTACTGGGAGTACTGGAGCTGCTGGGCCTGCGGGTTCGACTGGAGCTGGTGCTGCTGAGGGTGTT